TCTCGAGCGTAATCTGTGAACTATTCAGCTTTCTTTTATGTGAAAAAAACCTTCCAGAATGTGAGAGGAGATGACAGAACTAGAGTTGCGTGTAAAGTAGAAACGAGACCTCTCCTTACATCTAGAGAAATGTCTGTGAATGATTCTTTGCCCGCTGGGGACTCGGCTCTCACGGGAGATGTTCACAAGAGCAAAATTGCAGAAAGTTAAAGAAGGTTTGGGCCAGCCTTAAACGGTTAGAATTGATAAAGTTATTAGATCAAGAGTGACGTTTAAGGGTCACCCAGTATACAAGTAAATGAAGCGAATTCACACGTGTAGACAGCATGCCCATATTGTCATGAGTTGAGAGGAAATTAATGTCCGGTCCAGACGGCATATTGCCTTAAAACGTCAACAATTAGTCGTAATCGCATAACTAGTATGGAATCTGCTTATAGGGGGGACTTTACCTCGAATCTAACGAACGTGGTTTAAGTCACGTGATCCTTTACAGTTGTCAGGTATTCCAGCAATGTGTGCGCTTCCGCTGGTTGTGAAGCGTCAACCTGTATTACTCACCTCGATATAGATGAGCAGTATATCAGCTGGCAACACTTAACGTAAACTTCATTGTGGCATCAGTATTCACCACAAAGGTATTTTGTGATGAACGGCTTAGAGGATGCAGCTGCTGCGGGAGAAACGATTCCAAATCCAGTGGTCTTCGTTTCTGGGGACGAGGCGAGCACCTATTTTGTCGCTTTCTTCCCGCGTATGAGTTCCCAACCGACTTTGGTGAAGTTGCTTAATGTGGATAAATTTCATGCGTTTCCCACTTTCCAGTATCGACTTACACGGCGGTACAAACGGAAGATTGCATGCGAACTGGCAAAGTTCAGGCGGTTGGAACATCGTTCGATTGTACGCACACTGGAGGTTATAGATGCGGTACCTCCAGGCACGGTCGTTACAAGTGTTTATCAGTACGGAAGCCTTTTGGATTGGATTTTATCAAAGACCACGCTTTATCTGGGGACTTTGTGTCACAGCCTTCATCAGATATGTGCTGGTTTAGAATACCTCCACAAGGAGGGTCACGCTCATGGATATTTGAGGCCCAGCAGCATTTTATTCAAAACAGGGGCACCGGAATCTGCAGCCATCACTATGAACACCAGTGTCAAGGCCGAAATTCGCAAGCTTTGCTATCCACACCCAATCGAACTGGAGTACTGTCCACCGGAATTGATTGGATCAGTCATGCAGACGAAATACCATGCAGTGCTGATAAGAACTGGCTTGCGTTCGAACGCTGAACTGGATGAGGTTGATCGTATACTTTCAGCACGAAAGGAGTCGGATATGTGGTGTCTAGGAATCATTGCAGGCGTAATCCTGACTGGGTCCTACCCTTGGCAAAACGCAACCAGCTCAACTAACGCAGCAGATGGTGTCAAAGTACACTATCATCCAATGCTTGAGAGCTTCAGTTCGAATTTGCAAGATTTCCTAGTGCGTCTTCTTTGGCCTCGTCCGGCAGGTAGAGCAACTGCCGCAGAGGGGGCCGCTGGTTACTGGTACCGTGATACGCAAACACTCAGTGATACACGAAATTTGATGTATATTCTCGACTACGGATATCTCAGAGCTGAAATGGAGTTCAACTGCTTCGCACAAAATACGGTGAACATGCTGGAAAGAGCAAATACAAAGGAGTGTGGATAACCGCTTTTTAGCGAAAACGATGGAAAATAAATAAACGCTGTATGTAAGTTGCTCACTCCATCGTCAAAACAAACGTCATTAGCAGTGTGTTCTCCTGGTGTCTGGTCGTTAAAATGGAAGTTCTATTGATTGTCTATTCAAAAAATCCTGATTTAGTCGGGGAAATAATGTAGATCTGTCATCCGGCCAAAAGTTTCTCTCCACGGGACCAGTGAATAGGGCCGGCACAAGGCTGAGACCTCTCAGCTAGCAAAAGAGCCAGATCCGAGGACGTGTGTGCTGAGAGCGAGCGTGACCAGTCAACAAACTGCACCCAGAGCGGCCGAACCAGGTTAACTTTTCATAAAGGAAACTACTCACAAGGTTGCTGAAAACTCTTCGACCTTGTGAGTAGTTTCCTTTATGAAAATATACTGCGTTGTCTCGAATATCGTGTCAACTGAATCATGAGGCGGCCTGTGTGCAGCACATTCAATTTTAGAATATCATAAACGAGAGATTCAGTTGAGTCTCTCGTGAAAACCAAATTGATTTGCAAATGAGTGTATTTCAGGATATCTCTTATTCTAATTTCGGTTTCCCCTAAGAATCGTCTAGTATGGTGACAGGATCGGTTTGTTCATCCACAAAATATATTCGGGGGTAATAGCTCAACATTTGGGATCACAGGTGAAGCTTCCGTTCTCTATGAAGGTCTCCGAATCGTCGCATAGCCCAGTCCTGTCCTGAACTCAGTTTTTAGATGTCCATTCTCCTGGGTTTCTCAGTTCTGCTTTCTACGGGACCAACTATTCATCCGTTTATGGATCGATTTCGTGGCAGTTTTTACAGCGCCGGTCCTATGTTTGTTGTAGACTTAGGAACTCACTTGTTTAAGTAACTTAGTTCCCGTTTATCCATATTTCATGTCATTTGCAGGTACATATTGGGTACACACGATGGCTTTACTGGTTGATATCGATTATCGTGAACCTAACAAATTTCACCTCAGTTGCACCGTAGAATCTTATGATATCCCCATCCTGGAAGGCGAGTGGGGAGGCAAAAGTACCACCCCGACCGTTCGTAGATGCAATCATACACATCTGACAAGTAGTATGCTGTACTTCACTGGTTTTTTGTGTCACCTGGGAATGGCACCAGTAGGACACCACAGTCTTTGTCATACACAGCTTGTGTACCTGCACCAGATCATTTCTGTCCACAGTCTCGGTACATAACTGCTTGAAGAGGTTAAGACATGCTAGAGATCTCTTCCCTGGTTGTAATTTACCCGTGTGCCTGATTGTTCTGTGATTGATGCATCACCTGATTCGACTACCCTCGCATTCTGTTACCCTCCAACAACACAAAACTTCAGATTGTACGCAAATTGAGAGGTAGCTGTCAGAGCAGATGACTTGAAACTACTGCATAGTAGTGTAACGACGAATACTACTGATGAAGCATGCAAGTAGTCTACGACTTGGTGTCCAAGCCCTGCTCCCCGCATCCGATGGAAGGTGAAGTTTTTTTGTGGAAATTGTGAAGCTCCTTTGCAGTGTTTACCTACAATTGCTTAATAGTCAACGAATGTTCAGAAAGTTCAAGAGCATGCGTGAGAATGTTCAGTTTTAGAGAAGCACTGTGCATATGGCATGTTTAATTCTGTGTCTAACGGCTTGTACCTGCTTGGTACGTGTTTACTAATGAATAACTTCGCAGTGAAGGGATTTCTACCTTTAGTTTGGTGATGCAACCTGGTTACGGATGAAGGTACGGCCGCAACATCTCGAGGATGGGGACGTGCGAACCTTCCTGGAGGATCTTGGACACCAGGAAATAGACTACTCGCATGCTTCATCAGTAGTATACACCGGTACACCAGTATTCTTGTCAGACGAACTGGCACATGATACGAAAGAAGTCCGATATGGGTCAGCGAAGACTTCACCTCCAAAGTTTGAAACTAAACCGTAGAATGCTGTTCCACAGCTTCGATCCAAGCCAAACTGAAAAGCATTGTGGCTCCAACTTTTCAAGTAATCCCCGTGGATTTACAATCAATCAAACAGATGAACAAGTAACAAAGATTTCGGTGAACGCTTTTTTGCATACAAGGCGTATTTGAGAGTTTTCCTCTCTAAGAATCATAGCTGATGAGCTGTGGAAAATAAACTACGTGCATGGGAAGCAATCTCACCGGCACCGGGCAGAAGTACCTGAGCTACTAACTCTTTCATGAATTAAGTCCGATTTCATGCGAACAAACCAAACTTTGTCGGAGACTCAACAGAATTTCAGTCAACTTTCACGTTTACGATAGACTAAAACTAAACGGGGTTCACAAATGCTGTTTCAGGTTGAATTTGGAAGGATATTCAAGGTAGTTTTCTTGCTCAAAACTACGTATCCAAGGCAGCTCGCCTCCCATAGGGTTCATCATATAGACCGAGACCTCAATTTTATAGTAACCTGGCTTTACAATCAAATATCAGTTGGTAAGTGAGATTTCTTTTGGAATTCTCACTTGCTTCGAGCAATGAGTGAGTGTGCTAGCTGTTGCTGTCACGCCCGTAAAATGTGGAGAACCCATTGGTAGGGGGTCACGTGCTGGGGCGATATTCCATCCATCGTCCATCGGTTTTCGGGTCAAACTGCATCTCTATGCTGTCAGAAAATTTAGCTTTGTTCGTCCGGCATCCTTGATTTTTGTGTATAATCCCCGCAGCTCATGCTATTTCAGCGGTGTGGCTAAAAGCACTGAGATGACAACCAAATGTTAGATGGGTTGAACTGTACTTCATAGATATGACATCCGGAGGACAGCTTACTTGAAGCTGGTCGGCTTATCCAGAGATGACCGTACAACTCTACGAGATATGTTCTATTCTGTAGGATCCAAACGGTTAAGTGTTTATTTAGACCGTCCAGCCTGCACCGCTTGAAGTTCGGTGTCGTTCTTGTCGTTCCATTCTAAGTTGTCCCACGTTTCGCGGCTCAAGTTGAGTTTATTTCGAATGGTGTCCATCAGCTTTGAATTAGCAATCCGCTTGGAAACCATAAAAACATCTCTCTATCGGTTAACTCCGATAGAATTCTAAAAGTCTGGGTTTTCTTCTTTGGCAGTTCTCGAACACTTTATTTTGTACGGGTCCTCGCACTTACTGGGATGAGGAGAAGTGGGGATGAAGTTAATTCCCCTCTCTGATTGAACACAAAGGGTGATAAGGCCACATTTCACACAACTGCAGTCTTGCCGGAGTGGTTAGCACCAGTCAGACGACATTATAGAACAGTGAAAAAATACTCACTCTGATTGGAAGTCTCAAGGTCACCAGACTGAGCATCACAACTCCGAGCTTCTTTGAGTAGATGAACGAGAAACGTTCTGGCAATCCGTGCGATCATAGGTCGCATGAGCCTATGAAGAAAATATTGAGAAAATACTTGACTTCATTAGGTTCTCGAAGGTTCGGAGATTTGTAGAAAAACACTGAATACAGAAACAAAAAGATAGAAAATGTTTTTGGACGCTAAGGTGGTAGTAACGGATAACAAAATCGATTGTTTGATGCGTCGTATACGAATTTACGTGTTACTTCAGTGCAGTCCTCAGGATCAAAACCTCGGACGCTCGGTCCCAACAATCTCTCGGGTCCCGTTCCCCTGACAGAATTTTAGGCGGTGAGTTGACACACCTTAACCGACGGCTGTTTGTCAATACATACCGTTAAATGATTTATTGCAAACGTGACCGAGTTTGATTATTAACGTAGCTAAATGACTACGCATCACAATGAAAGTAAATAAACGAATACTTCGAGAAAATGAGAGTTGATCTACTTGATTGTCGAGACGGACGTTTTATCCTCACGAATAGGGATCGAATAGATGCTTCCAGAACCGGATCGCATCAAAGTTTGTACAGATAAATGCAAACGGGATGTAGAGCCACCCATTCCTGAACCGCGCGGCTCGGAATTCGCAATCTGATGACTGTTTCATCAAAAATCCACAGGACCTAAGGCGTCTGCCTTTCCCACCAAATTTCTGACAAACGAAGTTCCTCCACACCAACTGGCAGTCTGTAGTGACCATCTCCGCTGGCTAGACCATTGGTTAGCATCAAAGACTTCTGTCTAGATGACCTGGGGTCGAATCCTTTCATCAGCACCTTCAAGTTGAGTTCCATCTTGAAATTATGTTTCACCAGTAACGGGTTCCAAATTCCGATCATTAGGCTGCAAACTTCCCTAGCTCGAGGGAATAAACCTGACGGGTTATAGCCCCCAAGTGACCAGCTCTACTGAAATATCTTTTTGTTTAGTGTTCAGTAAAACGCTGTTTTTTCTGAACGGTCTATTAGGGATGTCCTTTCATTATTACGTAGTAAGAAAATTTCAGAATTGCGTAATTTTCCAAGTGAGGTCACCCTGTGCAGAAAAAAATTCGGAGCACCTTAAAGTTGACTTATTCTCGTTAAAATCAACAACATATTGATAAAATAGCAAGATACGCTCAGGTGTATACCAATTCGGTCTTCATCGGGGACTCAAGTTAATCTCAGCTAAATCTCTGGTTTTATGACAGTGTTCAACTGAATGTGCTGCACCGCGCTGCCCCATGTCTCAGTCGTTATGACCATCGGGGTACCGCGATGTATTTTCAGGAAGGAAACTTCATAATGGTTTCCTGGAAGCTCTTCGACAGCCCACGCTTGGCTATCTCCTTAATGGGACTCATCAGGTAGGACCAGTCCTCGAGTTTTGGTGAACATCATGTTTTACTTGAACTCAAATTATATGAAATTCGTAAAATATACTCAGTTGCACACCCAGCTGATTTTCAAAGGATAATTCCATGAGTCTCAAATGGAAAGTATCACAACCGAGAGAAACCGATGTAATTCAGCTGAGTAGCTCGTGAAAACCACGTTGTCGCACAAATGAGTGTAGTTCATCGATTTAGTACGATTTTCGTTCAAGTAGAACATAAGGTTGACGCAAACTCGAGGGCTACGCCTAGCCTTAACAAGGACGAAACCGGTTTCGGACTATCGTGAACTTTTCAGCAACCTTGTGAGCAGTAGTTTCATTTTAAGGAAACAGATAGGTCAACTTCACTGGCGAATAAGTGCAAAAAAGTGGAAAACAAATTAACCACTCCAATAAGTTACCCTACTATAACTTGCGAGAGAACAACTGCACCGCTTTTATAATTTTTTGAACAAATTTCTGAAACAAAAATTGTATAAACGTGTCTATACTGATAGTAGTACAGGATCTGTTCAGACTGCACAGCGCATCCACTCGAGAAAGCAAGACACGGGTTCGATGCACTTTCCATTCACACCAACGGCTTGCTTTGCTGCTGGTCACTCGGTCAGGTACAACTTCCAACCCACTCCAACAGCCGATTGGAAAACCACTCTCGAACTAAGCCGTCGGGCAAATGGATTCCAAATTCCCCAGGCTAGGGGGCCGCCATTTTTTGAACTCATGCGTCAGAAATCTGATCTCCAGGTATACCAAAACAAACTCGTTTTGGACCCTTACTCAGTTAAGTGAGTAATTAAGTAGTATTCGGATGAATATTCCGTCTGGACGAGCCCAATCAAGCCCTCCTCACCGTCGATATTCGTTCTTCAAACCTGCCGATTCTTTGATATCTTGCACCACAGTGAACACTCGATATGACAATATTCTATGTGGATCTCGGTGGAAATGAACAAACAACTAGACTTTTAAACTCTGATCTCTGTTGCACTAGACCCCTTACGTTCGAAATGTTCTTCAAACTGTCAAGAACTTTGCATTTTGACTTATGTAGAGCGTTAGATGCAGACGACAGTCAAACTGAACCCTAATATTTCACTAGCTTTGTTAACATTGATTTTCCTAGAATGTTCTTACAGATGAAGTAACCTGAAAAAGTAGAATGTTGGTTTCTTAGGCTATGAAAATAGATGCAAAAAAGCACACGGAATCAAGTACAAACCATGGGGACGTCAGCATTGCCGTACGCTCATCAGCAGAGTTGCTTCTGTTTGCCAGCCATCTATTTTTTGAACACGAATGTTTCCTAACGTTGAACCCAATGTTCGAATTCAACGTATCCTTAGTTGAGGAACGATTACTGGACAAATTAGAACTTTCGTGATGAACGTTCAAAATCACAAAATTCCACGTATTTTGTTCTGTACAAGTGAAGCGGGACGACAAATTACAAACGATCTAACACCAGTGACGTGACTATCCACGTTAGGGACCAAACAGAGCATTTTTTTCGGGTCACAAATATCTCTTGGAAAAAATTTCGTGAATACCGCAACAACTCTCCAATGCTTGGGATCGCTCGGATACTGGTTTACACGCATCCAGGAAATGCAGTTAACGGGAGTCGCCATCCAAACATGGTCATCAGCCTATTTTATAAGTGATTTCGTATGCCCCTTCGTATATCGACTGCGAAAGTCTCCCATTCTGTTAATGAGCCAACCTTAAGAAAGGCAATGAACCATCTGCGTGGTCAAAACTTACGAGGGTTTTGTATAAAGTCGGTGAAACTCGAGCAGGCAGGGTCCGATACTTTGTCCAACTTCCATAAAATCCGTGATATCGAACTGCTTCAGTTCCCGCCTGGTGGAAATGGGTGATATTCAGTGAATTTGGTGGAATATACTGCACTAGTTTTATGGACTTTTAAACTATACAACAACGCTGAATTCCTATATTGTCCGACTATTTGACTACTCTTAATGAAGTGTTGCCCAACAGTGAAAGACAAACAACACTCCCCACAGTGGATGAGCAATTAGTGAGCCCTGAGAAGAACAAATGTGAGGTGCTTATTTTCTACAGCTGTTATGATTGGGTACTGATGGGCGCATCCTTAACTATCCGGGTAAGGAACGCACCAGTCCTTGCCAGATATTAGGCGAACTTAGGCCAGGAACAAGCTCGGTTGTTGTTCACTTCTTGAAGAGGAAAATTAGAAGGACTGGTACTGCCGTATCCCGTCTACGTGCGAGTTAATCACGTTGCCCGATCAGCCTCTTATTGCCGAACGACCAGACTACTAGCCAGGAGGTCGCCGGTTCGAGTCCACCTGGACTTTCGAATTATTCGCACTGCTGACGATTTCCCATCAGAATGGAACAGCTTCTCTTCTTTTCAACATTGATTTGCTTCAAGGAGTGGACAAAACCTCAGTGAAAAGACGGTTGCTTACCCAGTGTTTTCAGTGGTGGGTGGATTAAGATGGCAAAAAACGAGCTGGGTCTTAAGGTAGGTAAGGCATTACTCATAAAGTTGCTGAAAATTCTCCGAAAACCCATGATCGGTTTTGCCCTTCTTGGGGCTCACGAAAACCCAGGATCAGTTTTGCCCTTCTTGGGGATCATTGTGTAGGTGCAGTCCCCGAGTTTCCGTCAACCTTATGTTCTACTTGAAACAAAATTGCACGAAATTAGCGGAATACACTCATTTGCAAACAAATTTGATGTTACGATAAACTCACCTGGAACCCCGTTGGGACATCACACACAAGGGAATCAGCCAGGTTCTAGGTGAGTCTCTCCCAATACCAAATTTGTTTGCAACTGAGTGTATTTCGCTAAATAAAGCTGCTTTCGGGCGGTTAATATGGAAAGAGCGGTCAACGACTTGAATGAAGCACTGAGAAAAATTCATGAAACTACTAAGCAATAAAAATGATATATCTGGGGTTGGGAATACTGGAGATAACTGGTATCAATCTATTGGATTATGTTGGGACTCTAGGGTTCTATAAACGAGATAATATTACTCAATGGAACTACACCTTTGGAAGACCTGTTCTAGAAGAGTACTACAACAGAGTTAGTCAAGTCTTTTATCGTGAGATTCTCTACGGACGCTCTTTGTGAATATCTCCCGTGTGCGGGATCAGGAGGGTAGTCGGATCTTTTCCAGATAGGCCCCGCCACTAAGGGAAAAAGTGCATTAGT